CACAACTCTGGAAGCTTATGCGGCGTGGACGTGTAATATCAGCGATTACATTCATCGTTTCCTGCAGGGTACCTTCGTGTTTGGCATTGTACCGCTGTCACGTCTTCCCAAATTCTTTGCGTGTCTTAATTCGCCATATTTTAATTTTGTTGTGAGTGTTAAGATCCAGAATCAGATTAAATACTCTTCAGCGCCCCAGAGAGTTCGAATGCCTTGCCAGTTTCATCGCCATGTGTTTTAACTAAGTGTCTTTCATCTGCTGAACTACTGCAAGTACACGAGTTGCAGTTTCGCCGCTTTTTTCGGTTTAATTGCAGTGATCGTCCAGCAGAGGGGGCACTTCACATGTCCTACTCGCCCCCATTGAATTAAGAAATTGTACAGCGTTTTCCAATTAGTCCGTATGACCTCTCCCAATGTAAAGCAATACGCTTAGAAGGGAAAGATAGTACAGCCACACCGTGGAGTTTAAAACACGTCTCATGGGAGAATACAGGTTTTGGATTTTAATTCTGATTTGTATGTGAACCATGTATACGCAAGTATTTGTTGTTTTGGGTCATGCCTAATCCAGAGCTCGGAGCTGTGCTGCACTACTGACCACTCGAAAGACACCGATTCAGAGAAAGAAGATAGTGAGTTCATTACCTAAAGTCTCTGATGTACTATTTTTCTCACTGAATACGACTCATAGGATTATCAAATTATTTCAGTGAGTGAGAAATCAGCATTCTCGCAGAGACTCGAGGAGGGACGTCATCGCATATTCTCCCTGGGAAACCTGCAGAGAACACACTAGATTTGTTCATAAAGCCCTGTATTATAAATACAGTGAAGGTCAGATATTTCAGCGGAAAGTGACAGACGTCCATTTTTGTTCTAGATGTAGTGTTGTAGAGGCGTGATTTTGAGAAGATGCCACAGGAAATATGTTTATATGTTAAAGAAGCATCCTGTGCGGTTTCTGAAAAATGTTGCAGTGTTTATTGCATTCAGGTCATTTGATCTAATTCAGGTACCCTATTGAAACAAGGGTACGGAAGGAGTGCAAACGATCTGTAAAGTACGTCGACATTTTATCTTGACAGAGTTTCAGTATTTTGAGAGAGCCTGGACTGGAGACACTAGTACTAATCATACGAGTTTATTTAGACTGTTTTGAGAGTTTTCCTTTTTCGTCAGCTGCTCTGTGGGTGTGTGTTTGAAAAAGGAAAGGTGTTTCCACACAGAGGTCAATGAAATTAATAAACGTCATACATAAACACTTTGCTCATTATAATTAATACGATTAATTTGAAAAAGTAACTAATAATTACAATTTTAAAGTGTGCGCTCCTTTATCTAACATTTGCGCCGTTATTAATTCGGCGCTCATTTTTCCAGTGAATTTTCTTCTTTCTAGCGTGTGCTTGTCCTTTTGTAACGCGCACTGCTTTTCTAACGCGCTAACTTTCTAGTGGGCGTTCCTTTCATTCTGTTCGCTCCTTTTCCTGGCGTGTGCGCCTTTTTCTATTGTGATTTTTTCTAGCGTGTCCCCCTCTTTAATTATAATAATAATTATAATAATTGCTTACACTTATATAGCGCTTTTCTGGACACTCCACTCAAAGCGCTTTACAGGTAATGGGTATCCCCTCCACCACCACCACTGTGCAGCCCCGCCTGGATGATGCGACGGCAGCCATAGTGCGCCAGAACGCTCCCCACACACCAGCTATCAGTGGGGAGGAGAGAAGAGTGATGAAGCCAATTCAGAGATGGGGATTATTAGGAGGCCATGATTGATAAGGGCCAATTGGAAATTTTCACACTTCTGTGAGTGTGAGTTTTCTTTTTCTGATGTGCACTCATGTTTTAGTGTGTGTTACCGTTTTGTGTGAACCCCGTTTTCCAGTGTGTGATTCATTTTTTCTAGGGTGCGCTCGTTTTAAACGTGTCCGCTCCTTTTCTAGTGTGAGTTCCCTTTTTCGTGTGCTCTGATTTTTCTTGCGTCCACTCCTTTTTCCAATGTCTCTTTTCTAGTATGCGTTTCATTTTTGTGGTGCACTTTAGCGTGTGTACCCGTTTTCTAACGTGCACTCCTTTGTTCCAGTGTGCGTTGAATTTCCTCATTTTCAAGACTGCGCTCCCTTCTTCCAGTGTCTGCTCCTATTACTAGTCTGTGCTCCATTTG